GGACACCATCTAGCCCTGTGCTAATCTCACAACTGTTGTGAAGTCTGAGCCCATGGCTGCAGCCCCCTGTCAATCCCTCTTGTCAAGAGCCTTCCTCTTTGTCACCCCTTCTCTACTTTGCCAAGTAGGAGGTCCTTCTCCAGGGATGGGTCTCTCCCGATAACATCCTGCCATCCTTGCTTCCAAGGAACGCTCTGTCTCTACTTCTGAGATGGATGCATTTGTCCTTCCGGCAGTCCACCGTGCTTTCAGTGGTCTTTGCCAGCACCCTGGTTCACATACACAGGTTATTTTGCAGTCTCCTTACTCAGTGTCCAACTTTTACATGCATAGGGAGCAAATGAAAATATCATGGCTTGGGTCAGATGCAGCGCAGTCCTCAAAGTAACATCCCTGCTTGTCAACACTTTGAAGCGGTTTCATCCAGTAGACTTGCCCAGCGCAATGAGGAGGTTGACATTGAGCAAAACCCTCAGGAACTCAACATGAACACAGGAAGCTGGGTTGCCCGGCCTCAGTGTGATTGACATTTTGGGCTGGAGAACTTTTTGTTGCCCTGGGGATTGTCGCTTGTATTATAGGAGTTTTGTTGTTCTTGTTTTGTTTTCTAACATCATCCCAGTCTCAACCTACAAGATGCCAATAGCATTTCAGCCCCAGATTGTGACAACTAAAAGTGTCCCCAGATAAATTGCAAAATATCCCTGCGGAGATAGGGTGATGGCAACCCCTCTCTCCCTTGCTGAGCATCACTGAAACAGAGTAGACAAGAAGTAAACCTTGTCATTTGAAGTGGTTAAGATTTGGAATTTGTTGTGGTGGCTCATGTGGGTTTCTAATGTCAAAAACAACACGTAAAATTTTAGCCAAAGAGGATTGATGGCCTCAGATGAGAGAGGCTTTGACTCTCCTTTCTGCTTCTCTGTCATGACAACTTAAATCCACGGCTATCAAATGGGTTCTAGCTCATAGCAGCCCTGAAGAGATCTTCATGGGAGCACACAGCTTCATCTTTCTCTCCAGGAGCAGCTGGTGTGTTTGAATCGCCTGCTTTATGGTTAGCAGCCCAATGCCTAACTTAAATCACCACCAGGCACCTCAAATGGAAACGGAACTAAACTCACAGGCAGTGAGTTCTAACGAAGCTCAGGAGAAATTTCTGAGGCTGTATATCTTTACTGGAGCGGACAGACTCAGCTTTCTCCCAAGGAGGGGGAAGTGGGTTTGAACCATCTTGAGATTAGCAGTCCATCGTCTAACGCGCAGAACCACCAAGGACCCTTGGTCTGTTCTTAATAAGAACAGAAATATGATGATTAATTTGATTTTTAACAGTATATTTCTATGCTTGCCTACATATAGGTATCATTTACTAGGGCCGTTCAGAATTCCCAGACACGTACACACCATTCTATCTTTATATTATGCTTTAGTTTACAAAGCATTTTCTCCTCCTGTCATTTTTGTGGAGGTCACCATGGTGGCATAGTGGTTATGTGTTGGACGGCTAACCCCAAAGTCACCAGTTCAAACCCACCATCCACTCTGTGGGAGAGAAATATGGCTTTCTACTCACCTAGAGGAATTGTCTTGGGAATTCACAGGAGCAGCTCAACAGTGTCCTACAGGGTCACTCAGAGTCAGACTGGCTTAATGGCAGTGGGTTTGGTTTTGGTTCGGATCATTTTTGTTGTCACCGTTAAATTACAGCTACTTTGGGAGGTTGGTGACATAGACAAGGAAAGTGAGGCAAAGAGAAGCGAAGGGGTGTGGCCACAGCCACACTGTGAAGATGTAGAAGGGCCCACACTGGAGATCTCCCTCCAACTCTAGGCACTATGCCACACCACCTCTGTGTCTCTCCTTAAAGCCAGTTTCAAAAAGTCTGCTGGGACAGCCTCTGAATTGGGAAAATTGAGCGGGTAAGAAGAGATTCTTGGACAATGATACTAAAACTTGTAGGCTCTCAGAGAATGCTACAGAATAAAATGGAACCACAGCTGTCTTCATGCAACACAGCCCATAGAATTTCCTATTCTGCCCTCTTCCCTACTTCTCTCTCTTTTTCCCTCAAATGGGTCACCTTGGCTACTCTGCCAATCCTCATAGAACGTATGTTCCTTGATAAGATATGCCAATAGAAATGAGAAATTCTATAACGGGTTGAGACGTGAGTTAGTCACCTATCTCTGCAAAGAATGAAGCCTTGCCTCCTGGAGGAAATGTAGCTCATCAAATGGACATGAATGCATGTAATGACAGAGAATGAATGTGAGGATGTGCAGAGATCTATTGTTTTAAAAAGAAGTGGCCTTATATAGTACCTGCCTTGTGTGTTCTCAGCATCTGTACTGTGCCTCACTTACTTGACCTCTCTAGCTCACGCTGAACTCTCAAATTGGCAGCTGGACTGAAATCCCAGCTCCTGTCAGCCCATACCTATTCATTTCCCTTCCCTTCAAATACATGATGGTGCTGTCCTGGGAGGGGAGCTATTTTGAGAGGATGATCACTAGAACAATCACAGGCTTGGCAGCAGATGGACAGTACAGTGCAGTCACAAAGGGAGAAAAGACATTGTCCTGGAGGATTTCAGTCTTGAATGTCAGGACAGCAGAGACTGGGCAGACTAGATCCCTGCTTCCTGTCCACTATCACTCAGCTACAGAGAGTTACCTACTTGGCTTGCCATGATCATTGGCGTCCCATGAATTGAGTTCCTCAGAGCATGCAAGGCACAGGAGATAATAATACTTTGGAACAAGGTGGGGAAGAAGCATTTTCCCAACAAAGCTCCTTGCATCCAACTGGCAGAGAGGAAAGTTATGCTCAGCTATGCCCAGAGGCATGTTCCGACTTCTTTGAGTACTAATGCCAATAAGCAGATTTCAGCACTGGAAATCCTCCCCTGGGCTCCAGGAGGGTCAGTGGGGCTTGAAGGTCAGGGAGACCACCTAACAATTTGCATCACTTCTCAGGGCAGCACCTGCCTTTTACTAGAAGCTGCAGAAATGCCTCAGGGACTCCTTTCAGTAGAATCTCTCTCTGTCTCTCTGCTTGAAGAACAGATGTGATTTCAGTACCAGGGGTTCTGCTTGGTCAGGGGCTGTGTCAGCTCATCTCAGGATAATTAAAACCCCACCCAATGGATATGTTTCTAGATAGATGGATGAATAACTCATTGATAACTATGTGCTTTGCATAATAATAAAAATATATATAGCCATTCCTGTTCAAAAACAGGTAATTAACCCTTTAGTGCCTCCACTGACCATTTCTGGCTGCACAGGTGGCATGTAAATGCCTTTCATCTTGAGAGCCAACATTGGTCAGTTGGTAGTAGCTGCCTTGAGAGTTATGGTAGAGATATTTGTGCACTAGACTCAGTGGGGAAAGTGTGCTGTTATCGATTAGCAATGTCTGCCATGAGCTACAAGAAGAGATGCTTTGGGTGTGCCAATGTTTTTAAATCTCCAAATTCTTCAAATTGATGATTCTAGACCAGTGTTTCTCAAAGTGAGTGACACTGCCCCCTAAAGGGCAATGAGATAATTGAGGAGGGCTGCAAAAGCAGATACCTACACTTTATCCTGGGTTATGGGCTAGAGTGCGGACAATTTTAATAGCCAGCATAATTTATTTACCAATTTATTTGGCTCACTCCCCCTTTTCAGAAAAAGAAATTACTTAGTACTCCACTGGCATTTGCTTTTGCAGCCCTCCTGGTCCAAATTTGATGGGAAATAATGGGCATTTATAGATGTGTTTCCTCGGTGGCTATATGTTTCCTCAGTGTAATTGCTGGATCTGAGGGAAAATGGGAATATATAATTACTGGAAAAGAAAAACTTAGTAGGTAGGTGTTAATTCACCCCCTCTCCCCCCAATGCTACATAAAATAAAACTTATTTCAGGACACATTGGAGGAGGGATTACAGGAAAACACAATGAAATCTATTCTGCCATGCCATACAATCTACCTAAACACTGTTTGCCTTATTTTCACAGTGTCAAGGATTTCCTCAGAAACAGTTCAGGAAAACACTGGCTGCCACAGGAAAACTGCTGCTGAAATTTGATTTGCCTTTTATCACTCTCTTCAAATACAATGGATTGTTTTCTAGGGATATTTGAGTCAATTAATCTAATAACCAGAACAGCTGATCAGCAAGTGTCTATGAATTAACCTCTAGGTCTAGCAAGCTGAATTCATTGGGTAGGGAGGTCACATGTTATTGAGATGTGATTCACATAACAAATCAGTGACTATTAGTATATTATTATATTGTACAAGCATCACCATTACACAATTCTAAAATATTGTCATTATCCCAAAAGAGAGGCTTTGCATCTCTTAACAAGCATTCCTTATAGCCTAGCTTACCCCATCATCTGAGAATCACCCATCTCCTTTCTACCTCCTGTCTCTATAGTCTTGCCTCTGATAGACATTTCATAGAAATGGAATCACACAGTTTGTGGTCTTTCGTATCTGGCTCCTTTCAACTAGCATCATGTTTTCAAGGTCCGTCCATGCTATAGCCTGTATTAAAGCTCCATGCCTTTACCAGTTGAATCCTATTACATTACATGGGTGCACCACATTCATGTATCTGTTTCCAGTTGGTGGATATTTAAATTGGTTCCCCTGTGTGGGCATAACACTGCTCTCTGATTCCTGCACAAGTATAAGCTTGAGTATCTGTTTCCAGTTCTTCCCAGATCATAGCTAGAATGCGTGGGCCATGTAGTAAGTGCATGGTTAACTTTCTGAAGAACTGGCAAACCACTGTCCACAGGGACCGCACCATTTTACAATCCCACCAGCAATGAACAAGGGTTTTAATTTTCCCATATCTTCACTAATACTTGCCATTATCTTAAAAATGATGATAATTATATCAATTCTAGTGGGTATGAAGTGCTAGCTTATTGTGAGGATGTTTAAATAAACAAACAAACACAAAAACACATCATCTCTATAGCAAGCCTGGCCATACCTGGGCATGAGAGGGTGGGAGTCCTCTTCGTATGTAAACACCAAAGAGAGCATCCTTCCCCAGGGAAATGTTGAACTTTAGGAACTGGGGCTGGCTGATGTGAATCTGTGACCGCCAGAACACCCCGGGCGGGACTTCTTGTGTTACACGCCGGCCAACTTCCGCTTCGCCACTGTCTATGCTGCTGTTTCTCAAGGACCAGGGCACTGCAAAGCAGATGAGCATCAGGTCAGTGACATCTGTATACATTAATTGGTTCCATATATCTCAGATCTACACACACACATGCATAGAATTCAGATTAAATTCATGGTAAATATCTCTTTAAGTCACAAATTAAAACAATAAAGATATACACTCCTATCCCACCTGAAATCTTGGTACAATGCTCTTTATTGATCAAATATAATGAGTACTGAGAATTTGATAAGCAGCTGTGTTGCTGCTAACCACCGGATATGACTGGGATGCACAATTTATCACAGGGGAATGGAAGGTGGGATTAATTTGGCACCAAATTTAATTCTTGCAGGCTTTTATTATTCTTTCCAGCCACAAACAAGTCCAATATACTCTGACATTTTCATAATTAAAAAAAGGGAGGTGGGTGGGGGAGAAAGGGACGTAGAAGAAGCAACACCAAACAGAAATCGGTCTGGAGTAAAACCATTTGAGAGCAACCAGGACTCAATATCAGGATGTCCTGAGAAGATGTCGGCCCCTTCCTTCAGTTCGAAGGAGGGTTTTGGAACCATGGAGAAAACCACAGCTCTCTTGGAAAAGTTAGTGTGTCTGTGATGGTGGTCTCTGGAACCTTCAGATGTCAAAAATATCAATTGTTCAAACTCAGCATCATGAATAAATAGGAGTTATGGAAATGCCTATCTGATTTATTTTATTTTTTAACTTTGTGTTGTGAATTAGGTGAAGTTTCTGAGAGCCGATCAGCTTTTCATTCAACAATTCGAACACCTTTGTTTCATGCCATTGGTTGTAATTCCCACAATGCAGCATCACTCATCCCACTTCCCCTCGCCTCCCATTTCCATTCTCCCCTCTTTCCCGACCCTTCTGAAGTTTGTCCGTGGGCAATGATGCCCTTTTGATCTCAAATGGTAGATTACTGTGAGGTGTGTGGATCTCACTAGTGTTACTGTTTTGCTTATCAGTCTACTAAGTCGAGTCATGGAAATACCTATTCTAAGAGAAAAATTTTCATGAATCATGAACCATCAGTGTCTCCTATACCTCTGAGGGAGTTTCCTTAAATCACAGATCTAAGGGAAAAAACAGGAGTTGCTAGTAGGAAAGCAAGTGGATTGTTTTCTCTGAGCTTCATTTTCTCGATCTCTAAAATGGGTACAAAACCTGGGTAGAACCTTGTAAATTTGTGATTCTTTCAAACAGATTCTGAACTTGGAAAAATGCAAACAACAAAAACAAAACCCCCCTAATCACGTCTATCCATTCTCTTATTGTCTCCGGACTTTCTAAACCAATGGACACAAAATGCAAAACGAACCAAGGTCATTTCTGTTTGGGGAAGCTTTGTACTTGGGTGGATCTGTGGGTCTGAAAACGTTTTCAGCTGAAAGGACACAGGATGGGAGACAAACTCCTCCCTGCATCCTGCAATGGATGGGCTCTTTGGGGAAATGTATCCATGTTTGGCCCTTGGAAATTGCAAATGGTTTGGGTGAAGAGAAATTAAAGACTGCTGTAGATAGATCTGAACCTGGGAATCAGGAGACCTGGCTTTGTTACTGTCAACTAAGACATGCCTCAACGGTCTTGGTTCCAATTCCCCCAACTGCAAAGTGGGTGCCGTTTTTGGATCTCCGCGGGCCTTCCATACCTAAATGATACAATAAAACCACAGGGCAGTTTGAGGGAGTGAAGTTGTAATTTGTTTCTCCTCTTCTTCTTTAACAAGCGAGGCAATGGTTAATTTTCATTTGATTCAATAGGAAATCAAATAAGAAGTCAAACAAAGCTAACAGGAGCTGGAAATAAAGCAAGGGAAATACTGGTGTAGCCATTAAGACATGCTCCTTGACCTGTCGGATGATGAAACTTGGGAATGATCTTGAGGACAGTTTGGGATGGCGTCATGAGAAGGAAGAGACTCCCTGAGTGGCTCCGATATTCAGATGGGGTTCAGTCGATGTGTTTCTCATAGACATTTTTAGATTGGCTAGAAATTCTAATGGAGAAAGAGCTTGGCAATTGACTCCCCCAAATCAGCCAGTTGAAGCCCTATGGGTCCCAGGGGTGGGGCAGGACCAGGCAGCCGCCTGTCCGTTGTGCTTGGGTTCCCTGAGCTGAGAGGTGACTTGAACGCAGCTAACAACAACAACAACAACAACAACAATATTTCAACAATGGGCATGGAATGGTCAGGGGGAGGAATAGAGCCAGGTGATTAAGAGTAGAGACTCCAGGCTGAGACTGCTGGTGTTCAAATCCAGGCTCTGGTCTGACACTTGCCACATGCCTGGGTTCTTTGTGGCTCAATTGCCACAAGTGTCAGATTGGGAAACAATGGTGACTTATTTCAAAGAGTTGTTGTGGAGAGCTGACTCACAGGAACCCCTCAGAATCGTGTCTGACACACATAAGCACGGAATTCAAATGAACCATTGCAATGACTAGTGGTACTATTATAAGAGAAGTGTGCAGGGTGAGATTATGGTTTATTTGAGGACTTTGCTGAAATAATGAATTGTTTGTTCATTATTTGTTAAAGCAAGTTAGAAACATTTGTTAAAGCAAGTTAGTTAGAGCTCTGAATATCACAAATTAGGAATAACTTTTAAAAATATTTAAAAGGGCCGATCTTTTCACTGACCCAAGACCAAACAACAACAACAACAACAACAATAATAAACCCTTAAAATTTAAGGACAGCTGGGGAAGGCATATACCAAACAGGGCCCTCATAGGGTGTGATAAGACAACAGCCACAACAAAAACTCACTGGTCTTCTACCAGTTGGGGACCTTCAGTGGAGACTGAAAGCAACCCCCACACTTATAGTGTGGCAACTAAGGAAATGCATTAAAAAAAACAACTTTAGGGGGATGACATCTTTACACTTAGTAAGGTGGCTTTCCTTCACTTCAGGTGGGCTTTCCGGGGTTGCTGGGTTAATGACAGGCTATGAAAAGGCAGCAAGAAGCAGCGGCCAGGAGCCCTCTAACCTACTGTGGAAACCTGAATGGATATGTGTCATGTCAGGCCAAAGATGGACATGGTAGATGGCACAGGACCCAGAGACCGGCTGCTCTACAGAAATTCAGACAAGGAGTTTCAGGGGAGTCTTGTTGGGTTCTTTCTACATTATGCAATTCTCCTTTTACGAGAACCCGACGTCAGAACCTTAGGGACCCCTGGTGGCATAGTGGTTATGCACTAAGAGGTGACCCACAGCATCAGCAGTTCAAACCCATCAGCTGCTCCTCGGGAGGGGCGGGGCTTCTACAGTCTCCGAGGTCCACAGGGCAGAGAATCACTATATGTTGGCATCGACTTCATAGCAGTGAGTTGTTGTTTTTTTAACTTCAGGACCTTAGTACATTAGCTGCTGCTTCCATGATGTTCAGTCCCTGGGTGGTTCGACTCCACCCAGAGGCATCTTGGAAGACAGGACTGGCCATGTACTTCTGGTTAACATACTCGGCTGCTAACTGAGAACTTGAAAGTTTGAGTCCTCCAGAGACATCTTGAAAGAAGGTCCGGGCTCTCTTTCTGAAGCATTAGACATTGGAACCCCAATGGAGCACAGCTTGTCGGCTGCACTCCACAACCGCTGGTGCCGTCCTGCCCAGGCTAGCGTCTGTCTCATGAATCAAACCTCCTCATAGGGCTTCCTTCGCATCTCACTCATGGCCTGCCCACTCGATGCTGCAGTGCAGGTCGGTGGCGAAGAAGATTTGGGAATCAGACCGTCAGGATTGCAATCCCAACTCTCCTTTTCGTTGCTGTGTGACTTATAGCAACTTGCTTGGCGGTTCTGAGCCTCTGTTCCTTTCTGTAAGATGGGCACAGTAACAAATGGAACTACACAACGAAAGCTTAGCACAGGTCTGGCACATATCAATATAAAACCAATGCTAGCTCTCAAAACCACCACCACCACCACCACCACCAAACCAACCAACCCAAACGCACTGCCTTTGAGTGATGCCAACTCTTACCCACCCAACAGGGCAGGGTCGAGCTGCCCCTGTCGGTTCCCCAGACTGCAGCTCTCCACAGGAGTACAGAGCTCCATTGCTCCCCCTCAGAGTAGCTGCTGGTTTCGAACTTCTGACCTTGTGGAATACAGCTGAACAGTTAACCGCTATGCCACCAGGGCTCCCACATACTAGCTAGTTACTGTAAATAAAATTGTAAAAATATAAAAGGATTTAAAAATATAGATATTTGGCTTTCGTTTCAGAGCAAAACATTTTATTCAGAACAGATTTTTAAAAAACTGCACATGTATATGTGTGTGTGTGTAGTGTGTGTGTGTAGTGAGGGAGGGAGTCAGAGAGTGATGAATTCTTCTGGAATAGACTTAGCTGTGGGACAAGCTGAAACTGGAGACAGGGACAGGTCACACCACTGATTTCTAGGTGACCTTCTAGAAGCCAGCACGGTCTCTTAGCTAAACTTGATTGGCTAGCACTAACAGCACTTTCCCATGGACGTTCCTCTTCCTGGCACCCCGACTCCCTCACTAGATCCAGTGGTGACTTTTCCTGTGTCTACGGTGAACTTTACTGCAACCGAGACCGTTAGGCCCGAGAGTCACCAGGCAGGCCATCCTAAGTCACCCTCTGAGACAGGCAGAGTGGAGCAGAATGAACAGCAAAGGAGAGCGGGGTTGGCAGGGCTGCAGGCAGAGAGGAACGTGCCATGGGTGGAAAGGTGCTGGTGGTCAGAGAAACAAAGTCACATGGGCATTTGCACCCCGTTGCAGGTGTTGGTTTGTCCTCTAGCCGTTTCTCATCTGTGCTGCCCTGTGTAGCCTGCACCACCCAAGCACTGTGAGGTGGGCTATCATCCATCCTCCTTCCATGAAGCAAATGTTAACGAACGTTTCCTGTAGGATGAGAAACTCTTGGTCCCTAGGGAGAGGAGTGAGTGTCAAAGTCCTATCAGCATTGATGTAGACCAGTCTGTGGTCCAGGCTTCCATGAGCACGGCTTGGGTTTGCATT